GTGTGTGGGTGGGTGGGGTGGTGTGTGTGTGTGTGTGTGTGGGGCGGCGGGCAGGAGTTGCTGAATTAATGGCATGTACAACTGATCCTACAGGGAGATTCAAATGCTGATCTTAACTGTGCAAATGACCTGCAGGATTGTTTGTATGCGGCTTGAACCTGACACTTCCAGAAAACACCAGGATACTCAAGTACATCCTTCGTCTCTGTGACAACTTTGCCAACGTCATACAGAGGAGTCTCCCAAAGCTGCTGCGATGGGTGAAACAGCAAGCAGCCCTAACACCTATGAATATTGTCGCCTCGGACTTGGTGACTCGAGATAACTTTGTCTCGACGGTTGTCCAGCTCAACAAAATAAGTGTAAAATAAGTGAATTCATGGTGGAGAGCCAAATTTTCGTTTTTCGATCATCTTTTCCTTTACAACTCTTTCTTTCTATCTCACAAACCACTGATGTGTTATCTGAAGAACAAACACACACTGATTGTTACAAGTGTCACTGGCCTGTTAGCGCGCCATCATGTGTCAATTTATGGGATTGCAATAAAGCATTTCCCTCTTGCCTGTAACTTGTGGCCGGTTTGTTAACACTTTAGTAAGCCAACAACACTTGTTAGCTTGCTAAAGTAAATAAGACGCACTCAGTAGACTAGGATGTTAAGGCTAGCATGGCGTCGGTCGACGTCCAGAAAGAGCGTGGAGCCTGCACGCCTTTTAACAGCTGTTTATTTTGGAGCTGACAGTCCTAAACAGAACTCTGGAGATCACATAAGGTGTTTGAGACAAACTCCCCACCTATCAAGCAACCGGCCACCGCTTCTCCATTCCCAGCCAGCCTGTTACCTCAGGTAAATCTACCGCGGCTAATAATTAGCCTTAGCTAGCGTTAACGCTAGCTATGTTGACATTACTTCGGCATGTTACAACAATAATCTTACGTAACCTAGCTACATAATTCATGGCATGTGACGTTTTGATAGGTGCAGCGTTGCTTGCTGTGAAGATTGTGAATGTGCTTATAGATGAAGAGGACTTGAGTTATGTGAAACTCCAATGCAAAATTAGACACTTGACTTATGTTTGCGTTAACAATTACCAGTAAATATCCCCCGTGCTCAGTGATATTCAAGTAAGGTCTAAATATCTCGGTATGGTCAATTCGGTATGGTCACTTAAGCTACCAAGCCACTTATTACAACATTTTAAGCTCTTTTTCTTGGTACTCCAACAACCATTTTCTGCTAATAGCTAACGCGTTGGTTAAAGTTACATGTTAAAAAAAGAAAAGGTTTTGTGTCAGTTTGTTATACCTTTTCGGCCGAATTTAAAGTAATGGTCAAATATGTATTAAACTGGGTCCAGTCACGTTTTCTATGACATACACTTTTGCACAGAAGGAAAGTCACTTTAAATGAAATAATTTTCATACGAAATTCCACAAGACTGTCTAATGGCTAACAGCTGCAGTGCTTGGCACAGTTAGGTTATTGCAGCTGTAGTAAAGAGGTGTTGAACTATATTCTACAAACGCAGAAGTATAAAAAGAGGTCAAGGTTAATTTAATATTAACGTCATGCATGCTGGTTAAAAGAACTTAATGTTATTTACGGTTAGCCGGGCTCCACTGAGCAAACATTGACATTAGCATAGCACCACAAAATGTGTCCCAACATTTAATACATTTATGCTTTGCCTGTTATAACCCATGGTTATGACATGTCGACATTGACCGTGTGTTAAGTGATATATTAGTACAGCACATGGACAATCTTTTTCAGTTTTCATATTTGGAATAACATTTCCTCACATAAAAGTTACTAATGCTGTAATAAAAGCTTATTAATTTAGTCACCAGGAAGTATTATGTTTCCTAATTAGCACAGGAACTGTTGATGAAAGAAAACAGAGCAATTATTTTCTTGTGTATATAGCAGTTAGATTGATTCTCAAAGAAACAAATAAATGCATGGTAACAAACTGAACAAATCTGTCTGTACCACACTTTTTTTTGGTAAATATCTTGATTCCCTGCTTTTTGAAAGCCCTCAAAATGATGCGTTTTCTGTTTTGTTACCAACAAATAAACTCAAATTGTAAATATGTTTGTGTCCAGTCCGTCTGTCTTCATGAGCATGGCATCAGGGGGGGAAACGCCACCATTCATACCTCACAGACACACCAACAGGTTAGCCAAAGAGAGGTCACCCTACCTGCTACAACATGCACACAACCCTGTTGACTGGTGAGTGACTTTAAAGTACACGTGTACACAGTCTAAAAGCTGATGTTGTATATATTAATGCAATAAACTAATGATAACCCTGTGCAGTGCAATCTTTGTTTAAGGTATCCATGGGGACAGGATGCTTTTGATAAAGCAAAAAATGAAGACAAACCCATCTTCTTATCAGGTAACACAGTTCCCTTGGAGCCATTGCACTCTGATTGTCCTAATATTTCAGTGTGGGGAAAAAAAAGAATTAAACATTACTCCATGTAAATCATACTTAGACACATCTGATATGAGATAATATTCACCTTACTAGATTTCATACTGACTTACTATAGTTGTGTTTGTAGTGGAACTGAAATGTGTTTCCTGTAAATGTCTATCTATGCCTGGCCTCAAGTGGGCTACTCAACATGCCACTGGTGCCACGTGATGGAGAGGGAGTCTTTTGAGGATGAAGAAATAGGTAAAGTGCTTAGTGACAACTTTGTCTGTATCAAAGTAGACCGAGAAGAGAGACCTGATGTGGACAAGGTCTACATGACCTTTGTTCAGGTTAGTGGACATGCCTACTTACATTTAGTTTTCCTCACACAAGCCTCTTATAGTGTCTCTCTGCTAATACTTTTGTTTTGGTTGCTATTGTCTACAGGCAACTAGTGGAGGTGGAGGTTGGCCTATGAGTGTGTGGTTGACCCCTGACCTTCGACCTTTCATCGGAGGGACCTACTTCCCTCCTAGAGACCAGGGAAGAAGACCTGGGCTCAAGACAGTCCTTAACAGAATCATGGAACAGGTCAGACAGATTGTTTCATATCAGTAGTTTCATGTTTAACCAACTGAAATGAGATTATCGATCTTTTGATCTAACTTTCAGCAAGAGTGTGACTATGCATATTTCCCAAAATGTTGAACTTTTAGCTTAACCTTTGCACAGTATTTGGATATTATTACTTTCATATGATATATTTCATAACAGTGGGGAAGAGTGTCAACTTCAAGTGTGTACATAGAACAAAAAATGTTGCTACTGAATTGCTATTTAATTATTATGACTTAATTAATATGGTGCATTTACCTGTTTCTTTGAGAATCACTAACAGCTTGATTCAAGAAAATAATTGCCCTGTGCTCTCTTATCAACAGTTCCTGTGCGAATTTGGGAATATAATGCCTTCTGGTGGCAAAATTATTGACTTTAATATACACATCTGTACTTTTTTTTAATATGTGGAAATACTGTTGCAAATATGAAAACTGAAAAGAGATGTGTGTCTGAAAGGTTCTTGTATTGTATTAATATATCCCTTAACAGGCAGTTGTTGACAAGTGATGACCATGGGTCATAATAGGCAAAGACTAAGTGTTAGCTTAGCAGTATGTTGTCAGCCTTGTGCACCATCTTTGTCAGCCCAACGTAGTATGTGACTTGCTCCTCAGTGGCTAAATAACCGTCCTGCTTTGGAGTCCACTGGGGAGAAGATCCTTGAAGCACTAAAGACAGGCACAAGCATCGCTGCAAACGCAGGGGAAGGTCCTCCACTTGCATCAGATGTTGCTAATCGCTGCTTCCAGCAGTTGGCTCATTCATATGAGGAGGAGTACGGCGGCTTCAGAGACGCTCCCAAGTTCCCCACACCGGGTAAGCACAATAAAACCCTGAATATTCATTTAGACTAATTCACCTCTGTTGGACCTCAGTTGGACCTCACTGTTTCTCTCTGCCCCGTCTTTCTCCCTCACGCCATAGTAAATCTGATGTTCCTCATGTCATACTGGTCTGTGAATCGCTCCACTTCAGAAGGGGTCGAGGCCCTTCAAATGGCCTTGCACACGCTCCGCATGATGGCGCTGGGAGGCATCCATGACCACGTGGCACAGGTCCATAGTGCTGGTTATCGAACTTTGATACATTTATGGCACCGATCGAATTACTTCAATACCTTTGAGTATTGAAAAATGCATTTCTACGTTTTTATTTATTGGTGTAAATGTTAACAGAACTTATGGTTGTGGTAAATAAGTTGACTTTTTATTTAATGAAAGTTTAATTAATAGAAATAATTGTGTATATATTGTATCGCTTTGATTGCCATGTTTACGTCTCTCTCTCTCAGGGTTTTCATCGTTACTCTACAGATTCCTCTTGGCATGTTCCCCACTTTGAAAAGATGCTGTATGACCAGGCTCAGCTGGCTGTGGCCTACATAACTGCCTCCCAGGTGTGTGTGTGTGTGTGTGTGTGTGATTGTCTCTGTGTTTTTTCTTTTTGTACCTGACAGGTTAATTATGCCTCCACCATTACTGTCTTTCTGTTATCCATGGAATTTAAAGCCATATTACCCAGTCAGCAAAAGCCATCAGTGTGTGACTTGGAGTAACTTCAGAGTAAATACAAACACTTACAGTGACAGTAAGGTTACTGAGAACTGTATATACACTTTAAAAAAGCTCAGTTCAGACTGATTATAACAGATTCCAACTGCACTGTTGAACTAAGATCCAGGACTAAGCAGTGGAATCTGATTGCAGTAGTTTCACATGAGTGTATAATGGGCTGTCCTGATTTTCAGAGTAGACACAAACTATGAAACAAAAAGTTAATTAGGACACAAGAAAGAAGGCAAACACAGACTCACATACATGCAGGACGTGTTTGTGTTTAATGAGGCTATAGACGCTACCTCAGCATTTGCACTGGATGCTGCTGTTGATCCTGCATATAAATCACATGAGGGTATCTTTAAGGTTATGCTAAGGTTGAATCCTGATTCTGAGCAGGTGTGTGCTTTGTATTTCTGCTTTTCCAGGTATCAGGTGAACAGTTGTTTGCAGATGTTGCTAAGGGTATACTGCTCTACGTCTCCAGAGACCTGAGTGACAAGGTGAATCATCTGTAGCTCTTCTCTGCATGTTTCTGGGTTACTGGACTTACTGGTCTTACTGGACCATGTGTCTTCACTAAGGCACTGAGGTGAAGGAAAACTTGTAAAGCAAGAGGTTTATTGCATTAAGAATATATAGAAGTCAGGATAAGGTTACAGATGAAGGTATGGTGTGAGGTAAGGTTACTGTTATTGTAATGTTTGGGGATATGGGTTTGCAATGTAAAATCATTTAAAGAGCAATCCAATCTGTAGACTGTTGTCACATTGTCTTTGCTGCTAATAAAGCGTGTGTCCATCTGTCTGTTCATACATCCACGAGGACAAGAGTTGGACCCCAGTGACAAACAGCTCCTTAAAGCCTTTGCTGCCCTCTAATGTTCAGTCCTTTATTTCCTTTTTGATTAATGAGTCGACACCAGCAAACGAGGGCACAATTAAAACCACACTCATTGCAATCATTATATTCCTCAAGATTGATTATGTAATTATACACTAATGAATTTATACCTCAGAAGTAATTTACTGTAGACTGCATGTTTCTTTATCTCTGCTATGGTTGGGATCTTCCCTCAGTAGATTCTTGGAGTTCTCGTCATACCTTTAAAAATGCTCTCCACTGCTGTGTACGGCCCCGGAGAAAGGGCTTACATGACAATGTGCACAGTCCCTTGAAGTACTGATTAATTGATTATTGTGTTGTGAATAAAATGTACCAGCACTGTTGCACCATTGGTCTGTCCTGCTCAATTGGCAGCAGGTGCATAGTCTCCTTAAGTAGGTCACATAGCAGCCGCTGGTGTCTGCAGACTACATCAAAATCTCCAGGAAGGCAAACAGCAGTGTTCAAAACATGTATTTCAACTCACCACCCTGTGCAAGGTGACAAGGTGCAAAAGTACTTGAAGACAGACTTTTTAATATTTCATCTTCATCAAGGCATGGTTACTTGGTCTCCATAGCTAGTCAGTATTTATGACGAATACTTTTGAGTACAGGTGTAAATCTACATATGTAAATGATGTTAGATAATATCAGTCTAACAGAAAGTAAACATTAGACATTAAATAACAAAAATTGTCCAAGTGAAACATTTGTAACCTATCAAATTAAAAGATCACAAAAGCATTGGAGCAGTATTCATACCCAGAGATTGCAAAGTTTTCAAAAAAAATATTTTAAAAAAATTGCCTTTCAACACAAACACCTTTGTGTGTACAGTTCTTAGCCTAAAAAAGACAAAAAAAAAAACAACCCTGTGATATCATTAGGCTTTATTTGCAGGATGTTACACACTGGGAGTGTGCGGTTTAAAAGACATGGGCATTTGTCAGGGAGGTTCTGATGTAAGACGCTACTGAGTTTCATTATGTGAAATGTAGCTTGAGTGATTTTGTAGCTTTGGAACTAAATGCTGGGATATTTTGGACTATTGCAAATTCCCCTCTCTTTCCACCTCATCCATTCCTGTCTGTCTTCTCAAACAGTCGGGGGGTTTCTACAGCGCAGAGGATGCAGACTCTGTTCCAGCATCGGGAGGGCCAAAAAAACGTGAGGGGGCCTTCTGTGTCTGGACAGCCTCAGAAGTTCGGGAGCTGTTGCCAGATGTGGTGGAGGGTGCCACCGGAGTTGCTACGCAAGCAGACATCTTCATGCATCATTATGGGGTCAAGGAGCAGGGCAATGTTGCTCCAGAACAGGTACTTAGAATGGATGGAAAGACTGAATTTGGAAAAACTATTTATTAAAAAATTAAGAAAATCTGGATTCAGCTATTGTATTTATATGGACATATAAATCTGAGACCTGTCCAGGGTGTACCCCGCCTTTCGCCCGCAGCTGGCTGGGATTGGCTCCAGCCCCCCGTGACCCCGTTTGGGACTAAGCGGTTTAGAAAATGGATGGATGGATATAAATCTGATAAACTGGGTTATGTTATTCAGAAGCTGGCCCACTAAGTCATTAATATGACAGTGCTGCAGTCGGTATGAGTACATTTCTGTGAGCAGTCTCTCATCCCCTGTACTGTATGTTGCCAGGACCCCCACGGGGAGCTGCAGGGCCAGAATGTGCTGATCGTGCGTTATTCAGTGGAGTTAACGGCTGCTCACTTTGGAATCAGTGTTAAAAAAGTCACTGAGCTCATGTCCTCTGCCAGAGCCAAAATGGCAGAAGTGAGGAAGAGTCGGCCACGCCCACACCTGGACACAAAGATGCTGGCCTCCTGGAATGGTAAGACAGGTTTACACTACAGCACTAGGACTGTTTTGGCAACAATATCCACTGTCCATTAGTGAGGCCATCCTAACATGACAGTTGCCTGTACAGGGAGATCTTTTTGCATCTTGTTATTGTTGGTTGAACTCTGGGTAATTTAGCCATTAATTTGTGCTGGTGCTGAACCAGACCTTAACAGCATTGTTAGTACAGTAATTGATTAAGAGAGAATTGATGCTAATGTATAATGGTTCGACTTCACTAAGTTGACCATAATCAAAATATTGTCTCGGAGAGTAATGTTTCTGCATTTACATTATTCATTTGCAATTGCCTGTTGCAGTTGTTCCCTGCTCAAAAAATGAAATATTTGAGCCTGTCAGTGCTCGAGGTGCCTGAACACTAAAATCGCGTTCTTGTATTGAATATATATGTGGTTACATGTTAGTATACCTGCCTCAGGGTACATAGCCTGCAAATGCTGTTTATTCTTTTCTGTGACAGATGATTGTTAGATTTTTTTTATCCTTCTCTCAGAATATTTGATTGATGTTGGTGTTATTACCTACTATCTTGCACTTCTTTAAATCAGGTGGAACTAGAGTCAGATATAAAATTTGGCATAAATGAAAATTATTTTGTACTTTGACATTGGTACTGGTTGAACGTCAATTTATACATACAAACATAGACAAATTTATTTTTTAGGAGTATGTAGCTATAGTGTAGATTACTCTAGAGCATACGTGTCAAACTCAAGGCCCGTGGGCTGAATGCAGCCCGCCGGATCATTTTCTGTGGTCCTTGAAAGCTTAAAATGCATATGATTGTTTTGAAATACAAGTCTATACTAATTGAAGGAGCAATCCCTGGTAGGCTAGTGGTTAAGGCGCAGCGCTCTCGCTGCTGCAGCCCGGTTTGAATCAGGGTTGCGTCAGGAAGGGCATCCGGTGTAAAACACGTGCCAAATGTCAACATGCGAGTCGTCAGTGTGACGATTCGCTGTGGCGACCCCTAAAGGGGAAAAGCCGAAAGTGACTTTCTTTCACTAATTGAAAACGTACAGACCATAAACTACATCTCCCACAATGCACGTCGATTTCAGGACCCATGAAGTATTGGCATCCTGCTACTAGATGGAAGTGTTTATCCTCCAGCATTTAACCAGCAACTTCCTGACAAGTGGAAATGAGAAATACCAACAATTAATCCCACAATGTCCAAGAAGAGAAAGGTTGATGCAGAAGGAAGGTAATTTAACGAAAGGTGGGAAAGTGAGTATACTGCTTCAAGGAGAAAACCCATGTGGCTCCAAACATGGAACTAAGTATGCTAAATTTAGCCTCCAAGAAAAACAACAATTTGTCAAAGATTTAAAAGCCAGACTGCAGTTGTAGCAGGAAATGTGCAAAAAAGCTACAGCAAAAATACAGCTGGCTTGATGTTATTGTTGAGGAAAAAATATTTTGAATTTTTCAAATTTATTTTATTGAGGAAAAAGTTGTTGCAGTCTGTTCAAGTTCATATTTCTGGTTAAATCATTGTCAGTTTTAGACTGTTCAATAAATGTTAATCTTGTTTGGCCCGCAGCTGTGACTGTGGTTTAATTTTCGGCCCTTGTGTGATTTGAGTTTGACAGCCCTGCTCTAGAGTCTAGTTGTAACTTTGCATTAGTGTGATGTCAGTTTGGACCAGAATATTTTCAGAGATGTGATTAATTCCGAGAACAGTAAGCGGACCACACATACATGTACATAAACAGCCACACACATTTTGACAAATTTTGCTACCAGTGCTGATGACTCAAGACAGTGTATTAGGGAAGTAACAAGCCTCTGCGATCCCATGAATGTGCCAGTTAGATGCAAGACTCTCAAGCAATTCCTCTATTAATTACTTGTCCTCAACTGGATCGCTTTGAAGACCAGGCTGTGCACTCACGCAGCTTTGAAACACTACATGAAAGAGGAGTGGAGGGAAAGAAGTAGGAATGGATGTAGAGAGGAAAGAGATGAGAAAAGTTCAAAGAGTGTGAAAATAACCAAGCTGGGACTGAGGTACAGCTACACAATGGGATCTGAAAGGAAAGCTGACATGTACTTAGAACTAATCATCCTGTCACATCCACCAACAGCACCTCTACTACTTCTTCCCCTTCAGGTCTGATGCTGTCAGCCTATGCTCGTGTTGGAGCTGTACTGGGGGACAAGGCCTTGCTGGAGAGGGCGGTGCAGGCTGGCAAATTCCTAAAGGAACACCTGTGGGATGCTGAACGACAGACCATCCTCAGATCCTGTTACCGTGGAGACCAGATGGAGGTGCAACAGATGTAAGAGACTGATTAGTGTGTCTGCAGTGTACGTAGAGAAGATAAAAGGGTGAGGATGGGTCTGTGTAATGCTTATCAGTTTGATCTGCCATATAAAAATAAAAAACAATAGAACATTGAATTTAGTTTTATAGAATCCCTCAGTTCTATTTGTCAGATGAATTTAGTTCAGTTTCATTTTCTATTTCAGTTCAGTTTTACTTGTATAGTGCCAGATCACAGCAAAAATCATCTCAGGGCACTTTTTGGGTTGCTGAGCCCCAATTTTATTTGGCATATGATTGGCCAGCAGGGCAGTCCAACTGAGAATGCTTTAGAAGCAACACAATACGCAGTACAGTCACACAAATACACAGTCTCCTTTTGATTGTACACCACCACTCCAGGTGTCCTCACTCTGCCCTAGTTATTGTCGATGAGTGAGTATAAAATGCTACAGAATCAGCAGAAAAATATGTCAGTAGTCCCACAGCATGCATGATGAAATGCATGCAATTTTAAACATACACATGGACAGATACACACTCGAGCCTAAACACTCTGGCCTTGTTCCACAGCTTGTGCCTCATTCGTAACTGTCCAATTCAGGAGAATGCTTACAACAGGTACTTTTCTTAAGCCTGTTTTAGTTTCCATACACAGATATTTCACTCTGTCATTTCAGGCACATATGGGCCATGGACTAATTTACAAGGAGGAATGGTGGGTACTGGGACTAACTGGGTTAATAAGCTGTGGAAGTGCTGAGGAGCCACTGCCATAGTTTTTCTGTGACCCTTGCCTGGCATGGGGTGCTTGAGTCTTACTGCTCTCTTCTGGGAGTTCAGGGAGGTCTGAGAATGAGAGCAGTGAAACTGGTGGTCTTGACTCAGTTAGAATTGCTTTGTCTTCATGTTTGGTAATGTGCAGTTTGTTTTGCATTGATTTGATCAGAGATTACTTTTCAGTGAGCTTTTTTCTGCATATTCTTTGGTAGTGACGTGTGTATGTCTGCAGGTTGTGTATTTGTTTTGTTGAGCTTTGGTGGCTATTGTAGGTCATGTTAACTACCTAGATGTTTTATTTAGCCCTCCCATAGCATGATGCTGCCACCACCATGCTTCACTATAGCATTAATATGAGACAGGTGATGAGCAATGTGTAGTGCTTGGATTTCTACCCAGGGAGTTACATTTGTCTCATCAGACCAGAGAAGCTTCCTCCTGATGCTTAGGGTGCTATAAATCCAGCTGCTGTATGGCTTTTACCCAAAGTGGTTTCTGTCTAGCCTCTTTACTATCAAGGCCTGATTGATGGAGAGCTGCATAGATGGTCGTCCTCCCATCTCTGTACAGCACCTCTGAAGCTCTGTTAGTGTGACTGTTGGGTTCTTGGTCAACTCCATCACCAAGGTTGCTCTTGCCTAGTTACTCTGGTTCCTCTGCCTAGTTATTCATCTTCCTTTCCACAATTATGGAGGCCACTGTGCTCTGGGGAACACTCAAAGCTTTAGAAGTTGTTAAATACTCTTGCCATGATCCACACCCCTCCATACAGTTTTACTGTGGAGGTCTTCAGAGGCCTCCTTAGACTTGCTTTATAACTTGAAATGAAGTGTGAATTGTATGGACATGTGTATGCTGTTCAAAACTTACTTAAGCCAAGATGATGCACCTGACAACAATTTGAAGTGATGCAACAAAGAATCTTAAAAACAAAAAACGGTACATTTCAGTTTTTATTTTTAAGACTTTTGCATGAAATATATTATTATTAAGTGTAGATGGAGAGAAGTGGCAATTTTAGCCATTTAAAGTTAAATTTACAACACAAAGCCAGAAATGAAGGGATCTAAGTAGTTTCTGAAGCCACTGTATGTACGCTGCATGGGCAAAAGTATATGCATAGCTGAACAAAGTGGCAATCTGAATTTTTAACCATATGTAATTATTGAACATGTCATTTCAAAATGGTTGGCATTATTATGCTCTGTGAAGGCTTTCCACGAGATTTTAGAACCTGGCTGCAAGAATTTGCTCCCATTTGCCACACCAAACTGGGACAACCATTTAAGTGCAGTATGGACTTGGTTTTGTGTACGAGGGAAACAGCCTTACTCAACCTGATAGTAAACAGAATATCTGGGTTTTGCAATTTGATGATATCTACGATATAATGGCTTGCACCTTTTTGCCATTTCTTTTATTAAATAAGTGATTAATGATTGAGAAAATAATATAAAATTATCTTTAGCATTAGTGTTTTCATGGGGATTTGCAGATAACTATAAGATTACATAAGATTACTACTAGCACCACTGGTCAGTAAGCTTTATGCTTAAGTCTGAGCCAAAGTTGTACTCTAATGATGTAGTAAACATGTTCTTTTGTTACACCTTCCTATACCTAGGCTTTTATATACAACAATAAGCTAGGTGCATTTCCTCAAAATTGACAAAAGAGATGCAGCAAATGTCAAACAGGATGCAGAAGATAAAGCATTAGGTGTCACCACAGAGCAATTAGTTGAGAGTACAGGAATGTGAGCCAGAGTCCAAGTGTCTCCAGGTTTTCCCCAGGAAACACCAGCTATGTTTTATGATTAATGAGTCAGCGGGGGAAATCGATCTGGTCATCTTACCATTGCTCTGACTTTGTTTACCTTTTTTCTCTCATACAGTTTTATTCTGTTACATTATTATGTGTCATTTCATAACTACATTTTGTAGCACAATTGAGCACATTACATTATTTTCTAACATAAAGGTTATTGCTGTTGTAAAAATGAAGAGACTCAATATGTTTACGTGACCCATATCGTTTTGATAACTTTTCCCTCTAGGCTTATTTGGGGCGAAGTGAAGTAGCTAGCATGTGAGAGAATCATTATGAAGCTGTTCTGAAGGGTCTCTGAGTGAACACACTGACAAGGTGTTTTTATCTCTGCTGTCAGGGAAATGACTCATTTATCATGCAGTAGTAAAGGTGTGCAGGAAAAGGCTGTTGAGTATTTCTGAAGGGCTTTTACATTTTTGTATGTCTGTGAGGCCCTCTTGAGGCTTTTGTTCTTGTGGCTGGAGTAACCACAACTACAGTGGTTGACTAGCTCCTGGAAAAACGGTGAATTTGGCGACCTGTGGACCGGGCAGTCATTTTGCAAGAAATGCTGGCATTTGAGAAGTTTTGGTCATGCATACATAATAATGTTCTGGTCCTACTTGGCACTAAAATGAAGTTTACAGGGAATTTATAGTTGCACATTTTCAACTTTTGTAGTTTTGTCCATCATTTACAGTATATGAGTAATAAAAATAACATTATACTCACCAATGTAGTATCAGAGTTTTGACAATAGCAATATCACTACAGTGAAGTCAGAAGGGGCAACAAGCAAGTTCTTTTACAACAACTTATTTGGAGGTAAAACTGAAGGCAACCACTACTGAAATATAAATAATAGCCCCTTATTGCAGCTGTAAACTATGGACAAATGTAAATGTGGGTCAAAGCTGAACCTATTTATAAGAGACAGTTCTGCAGAACTGTCAGTGGAGTTAATGATGCCCTGACTTTCCATCTAGCACCATCATCAGGTCAAAATTTCAGTCAAAGATTTTTTAAGAAAGATTTAGTCTTGTTTAAAATTTGCCATAATATCAAACTCTAAATAGTTCTTCCCCTTAGGATTGACATCAATGCTCTGTCCAGTGCAAGAGTGTCTGCTGTCTCCTTTCGACTTGTGACTCAGCCAACTCTCTGTCTGAGAAAGATAGTCCCCTCATCTCCCCATGACTTCCTCATGCACTTCATCTCCTCTAAAGCCACCTTCTGTTTTCAGCCTCTTAACCACCAGCCACCAGTCTCGCCTGACACGGCACTATCTGGCTTCCTGTCGCCGCCCGTCCCCCGGCGCTCCTGTAGATAGGGTGCCATTGTAGAAATTGAAGGGGGAAACCAGCGTGGTAGCCCAGAGGAGGCTGCTTGTTGTGGTGGTGAAAACATGGTAGAGGAGAGAAGCTGGTATAACTACAGTTTAGAAAATGAGTTAGAGTCAGGGGAGAGTTTGGTGACACTATACTGATGCTGGGAAGGGCAAGTCTTGTTTAACTGAAAAGTTAATCACAGCATACTGTACACTGGTGGTGGAGAGCAGGTTGAGGCAAATTGGTATCGACGACGAACTCCACGTAGAGAGAAAATCTTTGAAGTGAAATGAGCAAACAGAAATGAAAAGATGAAAGTTCCCTCCAAGGCATTAGAAGGGAGGGAATGTTGGGGGTAAAGGTGGTAAAACTTATGCAAGATGGAGGTGGGATGGTCTAACTTTATTGAGATTGGTCTAATTACTGTGTGCACACAATGGTACTGTACTGTATGTGCATGTACAAATATCTCTAGTGCCTTCTGTGCCAGGTACAGAGGAAGCAGTGAGTAATTTAACATAGAGAAAAATGTTTCAGGGCGAGATCTCACTCATCCTGCTGTTTGTATCATCACCTACAGGATTCAGGTTTTTTTGTGGACTTGTTTTAAAGCTAGTTCTTCTGCCTTGATAGAAAACATGGCTTGATCTTCTTTGGGGCTTGTAAACAAACATTTTCTATATACCGTAAAAGATGTGGAGGAAAACAAAATGCTGAACTAGCTCACCAACATTAAAGCAGTTTCTGCATTCACCTATTATTACCTTCTTAATGAAATATTTGATTTGATTTGATTTATTCTTTCAAACATGTAGAAACAAATGATATCGACACACATAATTTACACAAATCCAACCAATGCTAATCCAATATCAATTTGCTTATACCTAGTACATGTTTGAATGGAGTAGGAAGAAGTCAGACTTATCCAGTCCTACCCCATAACATCATCTTATACAAGAAATTTCATGCATCATTGGCTGCAAGCAGTATCTCAACATAGGTAATTCACTTCTTCACCAGACAAGTAATATACAGAAAATTTAAAACAGAGTGTTTCATTCATGCATTCTTGATTAAATCTCTTATTCTTATTTACTCTCTTATTTACTCCTTCCCTCTGTGTTCTGCAGATCTCCACCTATTTCTGGCTTCCTGGATGACTATGCCTTTGTCATTTGTGGCTTGCTGGACCTCTATGAGGCCACGTTGCAGTTGGAGTGGTTGGAGTGGGCCGAGGAAATGCAGCACAAGCAGGATGTGATGTTCTGGGATGACAAGGGCAGAGGTTACTTCTGCAGTGATCCCAGTGACAGCTCTGTCCTTCTGCAACTGAAAGAGGGTGAGGGATTGTTGCACTGATAAGTGAATTGACGTCACTAGCCTAGATCTTAAAACAAACTTCATCAACTTAGGTACTAAAGGTTTGCCTTTCACCAGACTGAATGTTTTGTTACTTGCCTGTACCATAAAAGTGCCAAAGTTCAATATACAGCCGGTTGTGTGACAGACATTAATATTGCAATGTCAGCAGCATGGCACATGCTACAGTCTGGGCTGGCCAACTAGTGAAATAATGTATTATTTGACACAGTGATCTGTTATTTTTTGTTCTTTGCTTTAAGATGATTTTTTTTTCTTTAGAAAATCATATTAAGCCTTTAGGTTAAGCAGAGAATGGATACAGCACTTCCTGTGACCTTCCTACGACTGCTAGAGATTTATGAGGAGTGTGATTCATTATTATTTCTGTTATATGAAAGCTAGCAGAAATTTAACATTGTAACTTAAGCATTTTCTCATTATTAAGTCTCACAGGTTAATCATTTATTAGAGTTTTATTAAGATTTTATTTAAGTTTTTATAGGTTTAACATTTTACAGGCGTTGCCAGTTGGGGATGATTAAGTGGCTCCTCAAAGTAATTTGTAAAGCCATAATGTGATTACCCAGAAAGCCTACAACCTTGCTGCACAGTGGCTAAATGCCAAAGTCACCATTCTTAAAATAACAATGCTAAAATGCAGCTGTTTGGCAAGTTTAAAGATTACTGTGTGCCCACAACACAGAGTACAGCAGAGGCTGATGGGAATGTTTTGGACAAATTGGAGTTGTCGTAATGATGGAGGAACACAAATTTTTGAACTCGATGTTAATGGCAATCCATCCAGTAGTTTTTGAGACATTTGGTTCAAATCCAAAAATGTCAACGTCATGCTGGTGTGAGTCAGGTGTTCATCAAAGCCATTAGGATTCATCCTCTGGCGACCATGAATTTCTTTATGAATGTTGGCACAACATTCAGCTTTGACCAGGTGATAATCTAGAATCAGCTGGTTCCAATCCTCTGGGGACCATGAATGTCTGTATATAATTTTGGAACAAACCAACATTTCTGTCCCTATAGTCATGCCAAGTATCAGCATTCATTTCTGCTCAAAAAGCACAAAAACAGTCTAATTTTGGATGTTCTATTCAATTGTAGAAAATAAATAAAGCATTAATACTGCTGCTGGTGGCTGTGGCTCTAATAGGATGAGAGAAGGGAGGAAATATTGATGGACAGATGAAGGATTAATCACACCGCTGCAGCATAACTCAGGCTCAGACACATTCAATAATGGGTGAATAGCTCAGACAGATGAATAAATACAGTGTTTGAGGCCTGCACAGCAGTGAGTTTGCTCATTTCAGCACAATGCCACAATATGACCACAATGATTTGAATGTGCAGAAGATGCATGAATGAATGCATTTCTGTAATTTATTCAAACAAAGGAAGCCTTTATGGTTTGGTGTAATCATTCATTCATCTACTCATTCGTTACCTGTCTTTCATACTGTTCCAATATCCTTCTCCTTATCAATGAATCCTCCGGTAAACCAGATGGCAGCTTTTGCTGTAATATTGCATGTCTATTTCTCTCCACTGCTACACTACAACCACAGGAGAGGACGGAAGCAAGGATCAATAGATAGCTAGAGGATAGAAAAGGGGGAGCGTAGGAATATTGACCTTCCCTATCTACTGCCAGCACCGTGCGGCACTCACCCACTCGGGTTAAGGTCCCACCCCATGAAAGCAAACTACTGCTCTGATTCTTCAGCTACTTTGATCACCAGACCTGTCAAATCTGACTTCGTTCTCTCTGTCAGTCCATCTGCCCCTGACAGACTGAAACAGCACAGAATGTGTATGATGGAATCTGAAATCAGCGGTCTGCCCCTGCCTCATCCCAATTTTATTTTAACTTCATCCTAAATCATTTTCCTCTCTATTTTTCTTGAGTCCTGTGTTGCTCTCAAACCCTGTCTTTCAGTTGATTTATAAGGTGCATAAAATGTAACAGCACTAAAGCATTTCATCTTAAAGTGACAGAAAACAACTACAGTAAATTATTCAGCAATAAGAGTAATTAACCAGTGGGCAAATAGATGCAGGGTGAGGTTTCTTTTCTGCTGAAAAATTTCCTTATGAAGAAGAGCTGTTCATTTTTTTAAAGTAAAATAGCAATCTTTCAGTTTTTTGTGGTGGTTTTCAAATGGTATGTTGAACTTTTAGTCAAGCAGCATGGCTTCAGGGATGACAGTGTTGGTCGGATTGTTTGGACCTTGGTCCAGACTCAGAAATACCTCGATGACTACTGAGTGGATTTTCATTACATTGGGGACATTCGTGGTCCTCAGAAGATACAGGGCCTTCTGACTTTGGTGGTCTCCTGACTTCTCTTGTAGTAACACCATGATGTTAACATTGTTGTTTTTTAGTGAAATGTACCAACAGTTATTGCATTGATTGCCATGAAATTGACAGAGATATCCATAGTGCCCAGAGGATGAATCTCAATGACTTTTGGTAAGCTTCCCGGCTGAACAACTAGTGTAGTAGGTTGATGTATGTGATTTTAATTGAAATATCTCAGAAGCTACTTGATAAAAACCACACAATTTGGAACAGACACTCATCTTCTTCATGATGAGTGTAACAATTTTGGTGATCCCGGACTTCATCACATCAGAACTATGTTTCATCCAGAACTTGGTTTGTTACCAAACACCTAAAAACAATAAGATTTCCATCGGCCTCAGCTGTACCTTGTGTTTAGTGCCAATTCTCAAAAGTGAGCAGGCTAACAAGCTAAACTTTGGCAATGAAAGTGTTCTAAAAACTACTATACAATTAAAAGATAAAATCAGCATATCACATATACAAATATGTATGCAACAAATATGTAAGTCTGCTGTCTTCTTACTGTACAAATAAGCTTGTTTAAGTCATTATGTAGGTTAATGTTAGAAAGCTGCGTAATCTCAATATCTTTGGCTAAAAGAGTGCACAGAGGGGTTGATGGGATATACAGTAAATACAGTGGGTACGGAAAGTATTCAGACCCCCTTAAATTTTTCACTCTTTGTTGTATTACAGCCATATGCTAAAATCATTTAAGTTCATTTTTTTCCTCATTAATGTACACACAGCACCCCATATTGACAGAAAAACACAGAATTTTTGACATTTTTGCAGATTTATTAAAAAAGAAAAACTGAAATATCACATGGTCATAAGTATTCAGACCCTTTGCTCAGTATTTAGTAGAAGCACCCTTTTGAGCTAATACAGCCATGAGTCTTTTTGGGAATGATGCAACAAGTTTTTCACACCTGCATTTGGGGATCCTCTGCCATTCCTCCTTGCAGATCCTCGCCAGTTCTGTCAGGTTGGATGGTAAACATTGGTTGACATTTTCAGGTCTCTCCAGAGATGCTCAATGGG